CATTGGATTGTTTGCATTTATAGGCATTGAAATACTAACCTAGGCCCCAAAGGACTTTCTGATAGGAATGTACCTGACAGTCCCAAGGCTGAAATGGTTCAGGTTCAGATAAGCCAAGCTTTTTGCATGGTTTTGTATAAATTGTAGAAGAAAAGTATTTTCCAGCTTGCTTAGATGACCACAAACTGTCGAGGTGACCCTGAGGAAACATCTCAAGGCAGATTGTTATAAAAACCAGGCATCTGAAAAACCGAGACTTTCTTTCCAGACAGCTGGTTCTCAAAGTGTGGTTCCCAGAACCTCAATATCACCTTCACCTGCTGTGTGTGTGTGTGTGTGTGTGTGTGTGTGTGTGTGTGTGTGTAGGTGTGTAGGTATAAGCATCTGTTGCAACCATAATCTAGATCAAGATAGAATTTCCAGTTTCCCAGAAGGCTCCCTCTTGCCCCTTGTCAGTATTTTCCAAGGGTTACCACTGAGTCACTGGCCTCTATCATCAATGGTTAATTTTGTCTATTCTTTAGAAATGGAATCATATAAGATGTATTTGTGCATGTGTACCTGGTCTCTTTAGATCAACTGAATGCTGATGAGAATTACCCAAGTTGTATGTATCAATAGCTCATTCCATTTTATTGCTGATTCCGCTGTATGGTTAGAAATGCACTGGTTAGAAGTCCAAATTGCGGGTGGGGGGGAAGGGGCCCACCCTGGACCTAGCAAATCATAAACTCTGGGGATAGGACCCAGTCATCTGTGTTTTAACAAGCCTTCCAAGTAATTCTGATGCACCCTCAATTTTGAGAACCTCTGTTTCCAGAGGTTTCTAAATTCCACTGCCAGAGAAAATAAGGGATATGCTCTCATGTGTCCTGCTCATGTGCATAACTGGTGCTCTGTGTCCTTAGTATGACTTAGAGGCATATGTCAGGTCTATATAGCTTCAAAGTTTCTTGTTCTTTATATCCTGAACCCAAGGAAACATATTCCTTTTTTCTCTGTTAGCTGAACCAAGATGAAATATAGCCCAATGTTCCCCTAACAAAAAGATTTATTAATTTGTACTAATCACTGTTTAGAGAAAAACATGAAAACCAATGTCCTTGTTGAATGCTCCTTCTCGAGGGCAAAATGTGGATGTTATCTGCAAAATCAACATATTTGTCACCAAAGTGAAATGTTATCTTTTCATGAAGACTTTCTCAGGCAACTCAAGGCCTCAAGGGCTAGACAGCCTCCCCCATCCTCATGATCAGATGAAGAGGGTTAGAGCTTGCAGCCATAACTCACATGTTTTAAGACAGCTCAGATGTATGTTTGTTTTCAGGCTAGGAGCTTTACTCGACCCAGATGAAGAAAGGGGACCATGAACCTGTCTAAATACTCAAATCCCTACAGACCTTTACCCTTTCTTACCAGTGTGTGCTGGTAAATGCCTAACAACCTGCATATATGTATGTATGTATGTGCGTGCGTGTACATACATATACACTTGTCTTCATTATGATTCACAATTCACAAATAATCATAAAATATACAATATTTATTATTGTAAATTTCATATAGCTAATTAACTCATATTCATGGTTTAGTTGATTTTTGCCTATTGTATCCATAGCCAACCTAAGGTGGCAATTGACAAGTGTGGGTGTGGTTCTGACATGAGTATTAGTTGATATATTGATTTATATTCATGAGTAAGACAAAAGTGAAACAATAAAATGAATGTTGAAATGTCTCTGGTTTGTGTCAGTGACGTAAGTGACTTCTTTACTAAATCAGATAATAGTTTTTAAATACTGGAAGACTGTGTCCTCAATTTTTTGTACAATTTACAATGTAACAGTTCCAGAGACAACACAATTTTAAGTTTAAACTGTGCTGTTAACATTTTCTGCATCACTTTCTTAAGCCTAGACCAAGAGTTGTCAAACATTTTTTGTTATGGAGACAGTTAGTGAATATCTTGGGCTTTGCAGCTACATATTCTTCTTAATTTTTTACAATCCCTTAAAAATGTAAAAAACATCCTTAGGTTGTGTGCTATACAAAAATGGGCCATGGGGAAAGTTCTTGACCCCTTCTCAAGATGATTAACAAAACAATAGAGTAAGCACTGATGGCCGCGTGGTGGCTAATGCCTGCAATCCCAGCACTTTGGGAGGCCAAAGCAGAAGGATTTCTTGAGCCCACGGGTTTGAGACAAGCCTGGGCAACTTGGCAAGACCTCGTCTTTACAATAAATTTTAAAAATTAGCTGGGTGTGGTGGTATGTAGTTCCAGCTACTTGAAAGGCTGAGGCAGAAGGATCGCCTAAGCCCAGCAGGTCAAGGCTGTAATAGCGGTGGATTGCCACTACACTCCAGCCAGGATAACAAAGTGAGACTCTGACTAAAAAAAAAAAAAAAAAAAATTGCACACTGGTTTTGTAGCATTTGCCAATTTCTGTGATGCAAATCCTGCCGTAGCCAATTTCAGACTACCAACTTGATGTCACTAGATGTGGAGTTGGAAAGACATGCACAGTGGCAGAACATTATGTGGTATTTCCAATACACTGATACAAAAGACCTAAGTAACCTCAAGAGCATGGATGATAGTAAAGCGTAATAAGATAATTAGGAGGGGATGAGTTTTGGGTTTTTATTACCTTTGTTTTTAATATGATTGCTTTAATTGTAAGTTTATATAGTTTAATTTTAAATAATGGCTGTATTTAACAACCAGCTCTCAAAATTAATAACTGGCTCTTGTGAGTTGGTATAAGCACACCAGATTTCAACCTGGTTTTTTTGAGGGGTGGGGGGTGGATAAAAAGAGAGTCTCCACTCAATTTGGTTCATTATTCCCTGTAACAAAAGGATTTACTACAGTTTCTTTGAAGCTGGGAGTTTCCCTGGCTCTTCTAAAATAGGAAATGATTTTAGATGTTATTTTTACATATTTTCAAAAAAAAGGTCTGTCTCTATTCTCAACAGCTTCCTGACCACCTTTTGCTTCCAAATAATGAGAACTATTTAAAGGAAAAAGGAACTACTGTAGTGTGGTTTTAAGAAAAGCCCATACTTTGCTCTTTCAGAAGCAGTTGCACAATAGTTCTGCTCATAAACTGGGGAAGAGTTAAAATAACTTTCCAAGGCCCCTCCCAAAGCTATGACTTTTCTCTTTTCTTTTCAGGTAATGTCACTCATTGTACTCATTTATTCAGCTATTTGAGCATCTGCTATCTGCCAGTCACTGTGGTGAGCCCTGGTGACACAGAACACAAGAGAGACATGGTCCCTGCTGAATAAATAATTACACAGATCATTATTTACTTATAATTTTTATAAGTGCTTTAAAGGAGAACATATAACATAGGGGCCTGACTTATTCTGGAAGGTTCAGGATGTCACGTCTAACCTGACACCTGAAGAGTGACTAGAAAGTCAAGCAAAGAAAGAGGCATAAGGAAGTAGAACTGCCATCTTTCCAGGTGATGGAAACAGCTTATAAGATGCTTGCATAAAACACAGCTGCACATACAGTACACAAACAGATATATAGTATAGCTTTAGAATTAAAGTTATATGGGGGAATATTAGAAAATAAACGTTCACAAAAGTTCCTGGGAGAAGAGAGGAGATGACAAAAACCAGCAACACTGAGAAACATTGGTCTATATCAAGAACTTGGACTGACTACACACATGCCAGCTTTAGAGCCTGATACTAAGACAGGAAGCTAGAGAATTCATGGTTTCCAACAACTCTGGAGAATATCTTCTATTATTATTATTATCTTTCAAATACTGCCTTTTCCCCTTCTCTCTATTCTCTTCTTCTGGAACTCCAACTGGATACTTACTGGAACTTTTCATTCTGTCCTCCATGTAGCTTAACTTCTCTTTCATATTTTCCATCTCTTTTTCCCTCTGCTTTGAGTTCTAGATAATTTCCTCAGATTTTTGGTTCACTAATCTTCTCATCAACTCTATCTGGCTTATTGTTTAATCACTCTATTGAGTGTCCCTTTTTCCATTGCAATGCACATATTTTGGTTCTTTTTCACATTCACCTATATTTTTCAAACCATTCTATTCTTGCCTTATAGTTCTCGCTCCCTTTAAAAATCTCTTTGAACAATCTAAACATACTTATTTTACAGTTCCTTTCAGATTTCCTTATTAGCTGCAGTTCCTAAGGTGTGAATTCTCCCCCATCCCTGTTTCTGGGCCAGCCTCTCTCATTGCTGACTTTTCTTCCAGGAGCTCAGATGCTATTCCCATCGCCACCCTGCCATTCTGTAGGCCGTGTAGTTGCAATTCCTGTTTGCTGCTGTGACTTTGAGTTTCTCTTCATTTCTGACACTATAACGCGTTTATTTTTGCTTTTGATCTCGACTACATATTTAAATTGTTTGGAAAACAATATATTTGGCATGGGAAGGGGAGCTTCCTGCAGCAGCTGAGGCAACCATAGTGACCACCAATCCCTGGACATTCTTTCTAAAGAACCTCTCATTTGGTGAAGGCCTCCTTGAGAGAACCGGAGACAAAGGCTAGATTCCTTGAGGGAAGGGACATGCTTTATTTGCTTTGTATTCTCTATGCCTGACATGTGTTTACTGAATTAAGAAATGAAAGAGTGCAATGGCAACAGCAAGCACTATAAGCAGCCAGCTCACTGCTTGGTTTCTCTAAGAATTACCACTACCATGATGTGACACATTGCCACTCTCCATCCCCCACCCCTGCTTGTTCCTGTGAATGAGCTTTGTCAAAGTGACATAGTTTCTAACAAATGAAAACAGATATCTTTCAATCAGTGACTATCTCAAGGGTGAGTACCAGATGTGGGTTTTCTTGTATTCTCTAAGCAAAATACCAAACTGGGAAACACGGCAGAGGCCACAGATTATTCTGACTTTCAGACTGTTGGTTTGAAAGCACCAGAGTAAAATGTTAAGCAGGTAGCTGATGCAATCTGGCAAAGTAAGTGTATAGCTCTATTTATATAAAGACACACACATATATCAGGCCATCAGCAGGATTTGTATAAACAGTGACTCTCCTATGAAGGCAAAGGCCACCCCCCTTCAGTTCCAGTGACTGAGATACATTTTTCCAATCCTGGGGGCAAATACAGACGCAGCAAGTTCCTTCTTCCCTTTGGAAATTTGGCAGGTAGGGCAGCTCTGCCTCTGTTGCCACATTCTCTTGGGATTTTATTACTCTGTGCACATGGCCTGTGTGAAAGCTTTGCTTAGGTCACCTTACGCCTTGGCAGCCAGCATGGTGTATGACGATTCAGGAAGACCCTGGTGTTTCCCAGATGGGGCCAGATCTGGCCGTGCAATTACTGCCCTCCAGCTGGGAAATGTGATGTGGGGGTGATGAAGTGGCAGCTGAGAAGAAGGCAGCTTGACTCTGAATTCAGTCTGTTCTTTATTTAAATCTAAAGATTGAACACACACATACATATATAAAATTAATATGATACACACATACACGAACGCGCCACTTTCCAGTTGCATGGAGTGTTCTTTAGGAAGGCGAATGAGTGGGATTCCCCTGAACTCATATTTTTTAATCTAATTGCCTGTCCTTTTCCCTGTTTACTTGCCATCCTTTCATCCTTTGCTCTCTTACTTACTTCTTTGTCATCACTTTGAACCATCTGGGCATTCCCATTAATCCAGATGGTCAGTTTAGGGCCCTTTGAGAAAGAGACAAGGACCTTAAATCCATTTCCAGTATGAGCTGCTTTGCTTCATTTTCTCCCATGGTCCAAGGAAGCCTGTCTGGACCTTGGTTCTGAGAAGGAAACAGATTCACAGAAGCTGCCTCACCACTGGTAACACAATACTACCCTGAGGGTGGGCGTTCTCACTTACAAAGTACTGGAATAAATTTTGTCCTCATCTCAGCAACTCTGATAACTCCTTCTTGCTTCCATCAATGTACTGTTCACTGTTACTGCAGAGGCAGCAGGGAATAACTATGGACTCTGTATTTAGACAGACTGGGGCTCAAGTTCCAGCTTCAGCATTTATTAACTGGGTGCCCCTGGGCAAATTACTTACCCTCTCTCAGCCTCTATTCATCTGTTAAATTGGAATCAAATAGAATATGCAGATGGCTCACAACTTGTGATAGCTCATCTTATACTTTTTTGACTTTACAATGGGTTTTTGGAGTATTAAATGCATTTTTGACTTATGATATCTTTGACTTACAATGGGTTTATTGGGACATAGCCCCATCGTAAGTCAAGAAGCATCGATATATTCAGAATGCTGAACACATAATAGGCACTCTGTAAATAAAAGCAATGACTATGATTATTTGGATGTTGGTCACAGCCCTTGGTCCTTTCTGTCTCACAGGAGTCTAAGATAATCAGAGCATATTCTCCCAGGGCTGAAGGGAGGACTCTAAAGATGAACAAAGCATCTTCTCACACTCAGTCAAGTGATAGCTGTGAACTACTGGATACATGCTCAGCATTGCACTATCTCTCTGGGAGGCTCTAGGAGAAACAATGGGCAGATCTACTCCTGTTCTCAAGAGGCCCCAGCCATCCAAATGAGTAGATAAGAAGAACACGTAAATGTGAGTGGACAATGAGACTAGCATCTACTAACATTCCCTTGAGACTACAAGTGCTATGGAAATTCAGAGAGAGCAGGCTGCTGTGAACGAGAAGTTTTCCTAGAAGAGGCAGGGCCTGAGCTGAGACTCAAGGAGAAAGCAAGATTTGGAGTGACCCTAAGAAGAACGGGAGCTCTGTAGGCAGCACACACTTGAGAGGTAGGCACAATGATTGTTTCCATCTTACAGATAAAAAAATGAAAGGTCCGATGAGCCTAGTGACTTCTCTAAGGCCATTCAGCAAGTAACCGGCAGCACTGGGTTGTCAGGAGAGATCTGTCTGGCATTGAAGGCTGTGTTCAAGGCTGACTCCAACTGCAGAAAGATGTGCTTTTTTTCTATAAAGTAGGAAATAGTCATTGATGGTTTTCCAGATAGACGTGACATGATGAAGGAAGTGTGTTTTCTATAGCCATAGCACAGCAGATGTTCATGGGTGGATTCTGGCACTAAAAGGGTCAATTGGGAAGCAGCTGCAATAATTTAGGGGTGAGGCGTTGAAGGCCTGGCCCAGGGTAGGGGCACGGTGGGACCAGAGAAGGCATTAAGCCATCAGGCATGTCAAAGGGCAAATTCCCAGAACTGGGAACTGACTGGATATGGAGAATGAAGGATGAGAGATGGTTAAAGGATCTGATGTAGGAGCCAGAAGACAGGGCTTTGCTGCTGCTAGGCATATTGGGAAGACAAACTCATTTAAAGGATGCTGCTTATATTAAAACAGGGTCTGGTTTCTTTGATTACTATTGGTGCTAAAATTTTTTTACTGAAAATAAAATACCATATGCCATGAGGAAACAAATTCAGAATGTGAGATATTCTACAAGACAACAAGCCTGAACTCTTAAGTCAGTCAATGTCATCCACAAAAATTAGGAGTATGTTCTGTTCTAGATTAAATTAAGGAGACGTAAGTAAATGCAAAGCTCAAACCTTAATTTTAGATTCTGGATTTTAAAAAGGCTACAAAAGACATTTTAGGGGACATTGGGACAGTTTTAATATGGACTGGAAATTAGATGATATTAGGAGATTATTGTTTATTTTCTTTGGTGTGATAATGGCTTGTGGTTAGGAAGGAGAATCTACTTATTCTTAGGAGAGTCATTCTGAATAATTAGGGGGAGTGTGTTATGATGCCTGTGGCTTTTAAGTAGTTCAACAAAGAAAAAAAATAAATAGAGGGATTGACTGATAGAAACAGAACTATACAGCAAATATGTTGAAATGTTCATTGTAGAATCATGGTGGATATATGTGTGTTCATTGTTCTACTTTTTCTATATCTTTGTTTGAAATTTTTCAAAATAAAAATTTGGGGAAAAATGCATGAGCACTGTAAAGAATTAAAACAGCACAAAAGGGTATAGTGGGAATCTTTCTACGCCAGACACCCGGTACTCCTTCCCAGAAGCAACCACTGTTCACATTTCTTGAAATGTCTGCATTTACAAGCCTACACATGTATTTGTAGATCCTTTTTTAAAGTAGATGGGTTCATACTGTAAATCTTTTTGTTAGCTGCAAATAAACACTCTTATCTGTGCAATTGGGGGAGTGTTTGGACAGTTAATTAAAAAACAGTTAAAGTAGTGCCTGGACCCACTAGGGAGAGGCTTCCCAGCCCATCCAGCGCTCTGTGGACATAGCTGGAAATGGAGGGTATCCCTTAATCTTGAGAGTTGACTCCACAGAGATCAGTGAAGCAAGCTTCTATGATAATGGTGGCAGCTTGCTTTTTTTTCTCACTTTTGGAGCCTTCTTGGGGGTTGTTCCACATGACCACGTATAGTTCTGCCTCATTCTTTCAGCACAGTTTTTAGCATGAGTTGCTTTTAGAATGAGTATGGTTTTAATCATAGTGTGCTCCGGGTGATGGTGGAACATCTGGGTAGAAAAAACATTGCCTAGGCTTCCTGAACTTGCCTGATCATAAGAATCTACTTGAGTATTTGTCTAACAAGCTCTCCAGCTTGGGCAATGCTGCCATAAGTAGATGGAGAACCCGGACAGGGGCTCTGGTGACGGGACTGCTCTAAGGGTGGAAGTTTCACTAATGGTGCTAGTTAACGGCATGAAAATAGACAGAGAGGGCAAGATGCCAGAGAAATGCTCAAGTCCAAGGACAGAGCCCACAAACTCCCATATGAGCTTCCGCCTCCTGCTCCTCCCCACCAAAGATGATTGCCTCCTGTTGCAATCATGGAGGTCACATTTCCAAAGCATGTGCAGCTTTGAATATGAAAACCCTCCATAACTGCCAGCACCTGGGCAAATTCAAATTGCACACTTGAACATAAGACTCCTCCCTGCAAATGAGAAGGATGATTGGAAAAATGTGACTCCAGAAACCAGATCTGGGATTGAACTGAAATTGCCTGAAAAATGAAAGCATTGGCACAATTAACAAAAAGGGACTGGATTCCTTTATTTTATTATTTTTTTGCAGCTAAATCCTGCACAGCTTGCAAACCTTGGGAGGCAGCCATCCTATTATCATTCCTGATATGGATTTGAATTTCTCAGAAATGACTTTTTTTTAAAGATCTGTGGGATTGAATCCCTACTAGAAACAGTGCTAGGAGTTTCAGTCACAATGTTTCAAGAATAATCCTGAGATAAGAGCCAGAACTGTGAGGGGCCTTGAGTGCCCACAGACCCATGAACCTATGCACTGGATGCCAAGTCAATCTCTTCAGGTATCCTAGAAAACCCAGCTCCGATAAATGTAGTATATATAGTATACATATACTACATATGAATATATATATATATATATTCATAATGAAAAAAATTCATATGAATATATATATTCATATGAAAAAATTCATAATGAATATATATATATTCATATGAAAAAAATTCATATGAATATATATATATATTCATAATAAAAAAAGAAAACTCAGCTCAGCATCTAAGTCACCCTGTGCCTTGAGATGAGGCAGAGCAGGTCCTGATAATCATTTGAGGGCTGCATTGGCCTGTCACACTACCTGAAATATTTACATTTCAGTGTGAAGTACTGAAGTCTTCTTGCCTTTTCTAAATCAAAGTGTCTCAGAGGTAGAAACAGGATCTCTAATATTTTAAGATGATCACCCTCTCACTTAAGGCTAAAAACCAGACAGAGTAAAGTGGGTGGTGCTTTGTCTGTTTTTTGGTGTGAGCCTGGAGGGTAAGGAGGTAGTGTGGAGAGGGAGGGGTGCTAAGAAGGCCCAGAGCCTGCCAACATGGTCCCCGAGTCACTGGTAGAATCTCCAGGAATGAGGGAGGTGAGCCATGGGGCCTGGGGAGAGGCAAAGTCAGTAAGTGCATGAGGGGCCTGGGCCTGGGCCTGGGCCAGGACTCTTCTCACATGTGGCCCCACAGGCACACCCTGACTGTAATGACTGTGGGATTGGGAAGCTGTCACCACAGTTTCCAATTCCTTACCACTATTATAACCATGACTGCGCTGAGAGCATGTGCTTTGAATTTTCAGTGAGCCTGCTAGCCCGGAGATACTTCCACCTGCCCTGTTATTCAGTGGC